CCCCCGCCATCAGCACAGTGGACATCCTCTTGTCCGCACCACGGACATTCACGAGTATGATGGAAAATCTCGTGTCTCTCGCTGGTTGCAGATAGCAACGCGCACGCTCTCTATGACGGCCACCCGTCAGGAGTTGTGGTGCGATGTGCTCGCAACCAAATTGCGAGGTAGCCCTTCCACTGCGTGGGAGGATCATTATACCCAGCGCCTGTGTGTGGGTGAGGTCCCCACTCTGGCCGGCTTTGCGGCCTTCCTTCAGGACCGTTTCGGCGCTCGTCATGACGCCACCGACGCCTTAGACCTCGTCACCCAGACCAGATGGTCCGGGTCCTCCATACCGGCTGACCTGTAGCGTCACATCCGGGTGTTTCAGGACGCTCGCCTTGTTTGTGACGAGACGTTCCTACCTGAGGTCACACGCACCGACCGGTTCCTTATCAGCCTGCCGACTGATTACCGCCTAGAGCTATGGAGGCGATCATTCTCTTCCGCGGAATAGGCATACGAGGCTGCGCGTCAGTACCAGAGGATGTGCAGTCGCTTCTCCGTCGCCCCATCCTCTTCGCGGCCAGCCTCCACCTCCCAGTCTCTGGGTACCACCCGAAGCCGCTCCTCGTTTGCCGGTCATTTTTGTCGCCCGGCTCGACCTGGAGCGCCATTCGCTCGGCATTACAGTTCTCTCGAGTATGGAGAGGACGCCTCAGCCGAGCTCGATCCTACCATTGGGGACGCCCCCGAGGACATCGAGCTTCGGGACGTCATCCAGTACCACTTGGATGACGACACTGTCCCAATGGCCGAGCGCCTGCAGATGGCCATGTCTGCCATGGGTTGTGCACGCAGTCGGGTTACACAGGCTGGCGCCCGCACACCCACAGTTCCTCAGATAGACCTCCCGCAGGGTTTTGTCCCTCCTCGCGGAGCTCTATCCCCCAAGGAGCGTGCCGTCATCGAGGCCCGATGAGGCTGCCTTCGTTGCCGCTAGGATGGACACACCTCCTCACGGTGTCCATACCACACCGCCCTCGATCGGTACTACGCTGACATTTCTCGTCAGCGCCGATCTCAGTCCCCCCCCTAGCCCCGCCCGGCCAGCCCCACCCAGCTAGCTACGGTGCAGTGTACCCCTGAGGCCTCGCTCGTAGTCGGCTTCCCGACCACCGGGTCCCGTTTATTGGAACCACGGGCAACACCCCGCCGACCTACCTCCCCAGGACCCTCGTCCCTCAGGGTCCCACCCCGACATCGCGTTCACTTCCCCTCGTCAGTTTGCTCACTTCATATGACAGGAGAACGTCACGTACTACTCAGTGAACGCCATGGATCTTCTTCGCTATAATCCACTTTGTCCCGAGGTTGAGCTCATCTCTCTGGAGCCCGACCCCTTGACCTTTCCTCCATCTTCGCGGCTCCCATCTCTACGTCCATCCGTAAGCCTGCGGATACCCCCTCCACGTCCCAGGCCCCGGAGCTGTCGACTGTCGAGTCCACACATATGTCTCGTGCCGACGCAGATGCTGAGGAACTCACACGGTTCACGGCAAACTTAGAGCCCGCCGTTCGCGACCTGATTCGAGAGTACCACGACGTCTTCCCCACGTATTTCTCATACAGCGGGATTCCCCCGATGCGCGGTGTTGAGCATTCTATCCAACTCGTGCCTAACTATTGTGTTCACCATCAGGCATCGTACCGACTCTCGATCCAAGAGGCGACGAAACTCAAGCGTCAGCTTGAGGAGCTCCTTTGACTGGGTTTCATTAAACCCAGTAACTCCCCTTGGGGTGCACCTGTCCTCTTTGCTCGCAAAGCGGACGGAACTCTCCACCTCTGCATCGACTACCACGGCCTTAACCGTTACACGATTAAGAACAGCTATCCCATGCCCCGCGCGGATGAGCTGTTTGACCGTCTGGCAGGCAACCGCTTCTTCACGAATATCGATCTTCGTAGCGGTTATCACCAGATCCGCGTTGCCGGAGAGGATTAGTCGAAGACTGCCTTCCGGTCGCGCTTCAGCTACTACGAGTTTACGGTGATGCCATTCGGCCTCACCAATGCACCCGCCACCTTCTAGACGGCGATGAAGGACATCTTCAGGGACATCCTTGAAGAATACGTTCTCGTATACCTGAACGACATCCTGGTCTACAGTCGTACCTTAGAAAACCATCTCAGACACCTCCGCGATGTCCTACAACGCTGACGAAAGCATGACTTCTATGCCAAGCTTAGTAAGTGCCGCTTTGCTCAGAGCAAAGTGAACTGCCTAGGACCTGTCTCTTATACACATCTAGATGTGTATAAGAGACAGGTGTCTGACCAGGGTCTCCACATGGACGACGCGAAGATCACTGCTATTGCAGAGTGGCCCGTCCCCACATCTGCCAAGCAGCTTCGCAGTTTTCTAGGTCTCACCAGCTACTATAGTAATTTTATCCAGGGATACGCTGGGTATTCCTACGTCCTTACCTCYACCCTCCTCCGGAAGAACCCCCCGTGGTTTTGGACACCCCTGTGCGAGAACGCCTTTCGCGCCCTCAAGAAGGCGGTGACCTGTGTGCCGGTTCTTCGCCTTCCCGATTTTCATCGTCCCTTTATCGTCACCACCGATGCGTCAGATTTTGCAGTAGGAGTTGTCCTTTCTCAGGTGTTTCCCTCTCCTCCAGATTCACCTTACCCCCATGTTCCTCCTTTCCCCCCCCCTCCTGCTGACACTACTTCTCGATTGATGCCTACCCTCCTACCACTTCCCTCCACTGACAGTCCTCCTGTTACTTACTCCCCGACCATCGCGGAGGATGGGACTGTCGAGGCTCGTGCTGGCGATTGCCCGATCGTTTTCTACTCCTGTCAGCTATTGCCCGCCGAGATAAACTACACTGCCGATGAACGTGAGGTTCTCGCAATAATTTATGCTACCCGGCATTGGCGTCATTATCTGCACAGGGCGCCCTTTACTGTGCGCACAGACAACTCAGTTGTCCAAACTTTCCTCACGAAGCCTAAACTTTCCCCTCGACAGGCACGCTGGTGGCGTGACTTATCCGAGTTCAGTTTCACCACTTAGCCCATCAAGGGTGAAACGAACCGCGTCGCCGATGCCTTGTCCCGTCGTCCTGATCACAATCAGGAACCCATCCATCTTGCTGCGATCTCCATCACCACTGTTGATCAGTCGGTGATCGACGCGTATCGCACTCAATACCGCCACTGCCCCGATTATCACGTCATCCACGCGACACTGCGGAGTGGCAAGACTGTTCCTTCCTACTCCCTCGGGGAGAACGGCCTTGTGTACTGGCATGGCAGATCTGGTCAGCTAGAACCACGTATCTGCGTTCCCTCCACTGGACAGCTCAGCGTCCAGGCTGTAGCAGAGTTACATGACCAGGCAGCTGTCGGTCATATGGGTTTCCACAAGACGTTGCCTCGTGTTTGCCGCCTATACGTCTGGCCGAAGTCCAAGGACTTTGTCAAAGCCTACATCCAGGAGTGTCCTACCTGCCAGGAGGTGAACAGTGCGAACCACCTTCCGTATGGGTTACTTCAGCCCCTACCCATACCTGAGGGTCGTTGGCAGTCCATCTCGATGGATTTCATTGGTCCCCTCCGCCCACCCACTGAACGCGGTCATGATGCTATCTTGGTCGTCATCGATCGCTTCACGAAGCGTGTACGTTTTGTCCCGTGCCGCTATCGCCTGTGTATCTTTTAGACGGTGAACGGGCGAAATTCAACGGTCGTTCATCCGTTTAACGGGCCCCAGGACCCCCGTTAAATCCTGTTTAACGCAAAAACGGGGGCTTGGCGTTGAATTCCGAAAAACGGAATTCTCGCTTTGGGCCTCGGACACGTGTGCCTACGTGGCCGAACACTCAAACCTGAAAAAAAAAAAAAAAAAATCACCCCCTTTTGACACCCCCCCCCCAACACCCCTAAAGACCGAAAAACCCCTATCTGACCCATAACACACCACCCGGCCCCTCCCCCCAACCTGCACATTCCCACCACGACCCCCAACCCCCACTGCACTTCACTGCCCTCAGTGCCCTCACACCCACCCCTGAACAACAGACACTACCCCTACACCCCCAATACCCCCAACCCCCA